GGGGTTAATGCGGGGATGGACTGCGGGGGTTAATGCGGGGATGATGTGGGGAATAACTGGGGGCGTTAATCTGGAGAATAACAGACTAATGTGGGGAATAACTGCGGGATTAATGTGAGCAATAACAGATCAATGTGGGGAATCGCTGCTGGGGTTAATGTGGGGAATCGCTGCGGGATTAATGTCAGCAATAACAGATCAATGTGGGGAATCGCTGCGGGGGTTAATGTGGGGAATGGCTACGGGGGTTAATGTGGGGAATGGCTACGGGGGTTAATGTGGGGAATGACTGCGGGGGTTAATGCGGGGGTTAATGTGGGGAATGACTGCGGGGGTTAATGCGGGGAATGACTGCGGGGGTAAATGCAGGGGATAATGCGGGGAATGACTGCGGGGGTAAATGCAGGGGATAATGCGGGGAATAGACTGCGGGGGTTAATGCGGGGATGGACTGCGGGGGTTAATGCGGGGATGATGTGGGGAATAACTGGGGGCGTTAATCTGGAGAATAACAGACTAATGTGGGGAATAACTGCGGGATTAATGTGAGCAATAACAGATTAATGTGGGGAATCGCTGCGGGGGTTAATGTGGGGAATCGCTGCGGGATTAATGTCAGCAATAACAGATTAATGTGGGGAATCGCTGCGGGGGTTAATGTGAGCAATAACAGATCAATGTGGGGAATAACTGGGGGGTGAATGTGGCGAAATCACTGGGTTACTGTGGGGAATGACTGTGGGATTAATGTGAGGAATAACAGATTAATGTAGAGAATAACGGATGACTGTGGGGTTAATGTGGGGAACCACTGTGGGGTTAATGTGGGCAATAACAGATTAAGTGTGGGGAATAACTGGTTGGGGGGGGTAATGAGAGAAATAACTGTTTAATGTGGGGAGTAACCGTGGGGTTAATGTGGGGAGTAACAGATTAATGTGGGGAATAATTAGGGGGGATTAATGAGGGAAATAAAGATTAATGTGGGGAATAACAGGATTAATGTGGGTTGTAATTGGGGGTTTAGTGATGCAAATAACTTGGGTGATTAATGAGGGGAATAACTGGGATTAATGAGGGGAATAATGGGGGGTGGGTTTAATGTGGAGAATAAATTTGGGATTAGTCAATAGTGTAACTGGGATTATTGAGAAATATAACTGAGGGATTTGGGAAGCAATAACTGGATTACTGAGTGGAATAACTGGTTAGTTGTTAAAGTGAATAATTGGGTCATTAGTGAGGGGAGGACCTGGGGATTAGTGAGGGATATAATTGGGGATTTAATGATTGAAATAAATTAATGGATTAATGCGGTGAATAACTGGGTTACTGAGGGGAATGACTGGCGGATTAATGAAAGGATTAACTGCTGGATTAATGAGGGGAATAACAGGAGGGTGAATGTGAGGAATAACTAGAGGAGTAGTGGGGGTAAAACTGGGATTAATGAGGCTGATGATGGGGGATTTAATCGAGGGAATTAATCAGGAGGAATAAAGCAGGAGCTGAATGGCAAAATTAGTCAGGGAAAGTAATGTGTAAATTAATTGGGTGGTTAATGGGTAAATGATTCAGAAGTACACCTGGGCTGAATGGAGAATAATGGGGTAATTTGTCAGGGAGACTGACGGGATTTAATCAGAAGTATAATGGGAATTAATGTAGAGAATAATGGAATTAATCAGGAGAAGGATGGGGTAATTAATCAGTGATAGAAAACAGAATTAATAATTGGAATGGTGAGCAAGTAATCGGAGGAATAATGGGGGACCGAATCAATGGAATAATGGGATTTAATGAGGGAGAGTAACTGGAGAATTATATAACAACATAAGAAAAAGGAGCTGGAGTGGGCCGTCTGGCTTCTCAAGCTTGCTGTGCCATTCAGTCAGATCGTGGCTGATCTTCGTTCAGCCTCAGCTTCACTTACCCACCCGCTCACCTTAATTCCTTCACTGTTCAAAAAATCCGTCTTCGCCTTAGAAACACTCCACGAGGGAGCCTCACTGGGCAGGGAATTCTGCAGATTCACAACCCTTAGGGTGAAGGTGTCCCTCCTCAACTCAGTCCTAAATCTGCTCTCCCCCCCCCCCCCACCTTGTTTTAATAGAAGGAATAATGGGGGAAATTAATGAAGGGTGGATAGATCGGGGTGATAGTCGGAGCAATTGATGAATTTGTCAGAGGTAGCAATGGGGAATTGATCAGAATAACAGAGATTTAAATCAGAAGGAATTACAGGGGGTCTTAGGGGAGGCAATGGCCTAGTGGTATTATCGCTGGACTGTTAACCCAGAGACCTAGATAGTGTTCTGGGGACCTGGTTTCGAATCCCGCCACGGCAGATGGTGGAATTTGAATTCAATAAAATATCGAATTGAGAATCTAACGATGACCATGAATCCAATGTCGATTGTCGGGAAAAACCCATCTGGTTCACTAATGCCCTTTAGGGAAGGAAACTGCCATCCTTACCTGGTGTGGCCTACATGTGACTCCAGACCCACAGCAATGTGGTTGACTCTTAACTGCCCTCTGGGCAATTAGGGATTGCTACAGCCCCAGACGAAAACCATGGGATCACGTGGCAAATGGGAAAATTGGAATTTAGTAAAGAGTGGGTTTAAAAGCTGGCTTTTGTGGAGATCGCTGAATCAATGTTTGTTAAAAAGCCCATTGGGACCAGTCAGGTCCACGACGGGATGAAACTGGGGAGAGCCCGTAATGTAATTGCTCTCTCTCTCTTTCTCTTTCTCTTTCTCTCTCTCTCTCTCTCTCTTTCTCTAGCTCTCTATGTGACGCTGCGTGCGTGAGAGGCAGGGGTGTGAATGCAGCAACCTGCCCTCCGTCACCCTCAGGGTCGGTGAGGCTGGGCACCGAGCACCCACCCCACCCCAGTCCCGTGACACAGCCCACTTCCCAGGATGCTGACCAGCGCTCGGGCTGGAAGTCTCAAAGACCCCGAGGTGGCTGAACTGTTTTACAAAGATGACCCGGAGAAACTGTTCGTCGATCTGCGTGAGATCGGACATGGGAGCTTCGGAGCGGTCTACTTTGTAAGTATTTGGGGGTTTTGGGGGGTGGGGATTACCATGAGCAGAACCTCTCCTCCTTCCACTTTTCGAGTCTTCACCCTCAGGCTCACTGGGTCCCCCCGCATTGAGGTTCCCCCCCCACCATCGAGTTCCCCCTCCCCCGCGCATGACTTCCTCACACACCACCCCCCCAGCCCCATATCATTCTGTCCTTCCCTACCCTGTTTGCTCACACTCTGTTGCATACTGTGCACCCCCTCCCCCCCCCCCCTTGTTCCCCCGTCATGCCCCCTCCCGCCTGTTCGCTCTGGTTGCGCCCACTCACACCCCTCCCCATTCCCTCGGCCCCGTTGTGCCCTCGGCTCTATCCCTCACTATCTCTGTCTCTTTCTCTCTCTGTCCAGGCGAGGGATATGCGAAGCAGTGAGGTGGTTGCCATTAAAAAGATGTCGTACAGCGGGAAACAGTCCAACGAGGTAACGCAGCAGACACCGGCGAGGTTGGTGGGGGGGGAGTGGGGTGGAGGGGGGGTGTGGTGGAGAGGGAGGGAGGGGAGGGAAGGAGATAAGGTGTCAGGCTTGGGGTGGGAGTGGACAGAGGGTGTAGAGCGGTGGGAGAGAGTGAGTGAGAGTTTGTTGGGTAGGGGCTGAGAGAGAAACTGTGTGTGTGTGAGCGTGTGTCAGTCAGTCCGTTAGTCTGTCCTTACCTTCATGGTGGGAGTGGGATGGATGGTTTTGAGGAGGGAGTATGGGGCTGGAGGGAGATGTCTGAAATCCTGTACCTCATTCTTTTCCTCACTGTCTGTCTCCCCGTTTTACAGAAATGGCAGGATATCATTAAGGAGGTGAAATTCCTGCAGAATCTACGACACCCGAACACCATCGAGTATAAAGGCTGCTACCTCCGCGAGCACACGGCCTGGGTACGTTTACCAGGAACCTCGGACACCCCCTCCTACTCTGGGGCAGGATGGTGTGGGGGGGAGAAGGATTGGTTTACTGGGCTGCATGCTGTCCCACTTTCTGATCCTCGGTATCTCACTGTGACCCTGTCTCTGTTTCAGCTGGTGATGGAATATTGTCTGGGATCAGCCTCGGATCTGCTGGAGGGTAAGTGTCCACAGTGACCTCCCTGACCAACCCCTTCTCCCCCCCCCCCCCCCTCCAGCTGATGGGCTGACACCCCACTGCCCCCTCTGAAACCCGGCTACCTCCCCTGACTGCCCTAACCCCAACCCCCACTCTCTCCCTGGACCCCCAACACCTCTCAACAATATCCAATATCTGTGTCTGCGTGTGTCTGACTTTCTCTCACTCCTCTTTCTTTTGTGCTTGTTCCTCTCTCTGTCTCTGTCTATCTGTCTGTCTCTCTGTTTTCCACCCCCCCCCCCACATGCTCGCTCTTCCTGTCCCCTTCCCCCTCCCCCCCCCCCCCCCCCCCCCCCCGTCTCTCTGTCTGTCTGCCTGCCACTGTCTCTCACCCGTTCTCTCCCATCCCCATCCCTGTCCAGCCCTAATCCGATGGGATCCTGACGATTCCTGCTCCTTTTCCAGTTCACCGGAAGCCACTGCAGGAGGTGGAGATTGCAGTCATTACTCACGGTGCCTTGCAGGGATTGGCTTATCTCCACTCGCACAACATGATCCACAGGTGAGAGGTCACAGAGTAGGAGAGCGTTGGGCGGAGGGTGACGGAGTTGTTGCGGGGGGAGGTTTTGGGTTAGATGTTCGTGGAGTGAGGCTGTGGTTGAGGGTCACTGGGGCAGGGAGAGTCGGTCTGCTCCAGGGTTTGTGACCTGAATCTTTCAATAACATGTTATTCTTCTCTCCCTCTTCCCCACCTTTCCTGCTGCTCCCCTCCTGCTCCGCTTCTCCCCCTCCCGCTCTGCTTCCCCCCTCCCCCACCCCTCTAACCCCCTCCACATCCCTTTCCCCCCCTCCCCCCCCAACATCCCTCTTCCTTCCCCCTGCTTCCCACATCCCTCTTCCTTCCCATCTTCCCACATAACCCCCCCGCCCCCATCTGTAGAGATGTGAAGGCAGGCAATGTTCTCCTGACTGAGCCAGGACAAGTGAAACTGGCAGATTTTGGTTCAGCCTCCATTGTGGCTCCTGCCAACTCCTTTGTGGGGACACCATATTGGTTTGTAGCACTCGGTCTGTCTGTGTCTCCCACAGCTGCTGAGCTCCCGAAAGACCTCGCGTTTCCCCTTCATCCCACCTTCCCCGTGTATGTCCCACATGGACCCACTCGCGTATGGGTTCCACCCCCCGTGTCCCCCTTGCGTATGTCTCCCCAACCCTCCTTGTGTTCTCCCCTGCATGTGTGCACCCTTCACTAAATCTCTCTCACTCACCTATCTCTGCCTCTTTGTTTCTCTTTCTGTTTCTAATTCTGTCTCTCACTCTCTCCCTCTGACCGTGTGTCTCTCTCACTGTCTTCCCTTGTGACCGTGTGTGTATGTCTGTCTCTCACTCTCTCCCTCTGACCGTGTGTGTCTCTCTCTCTCTCACTGTCTTCCCTTGTGACCGTGTGTGTATGTCTGTCTCTCACTCTCTCTCTCTGACCGTGTGTGTATGTCTGTCTCTCACTCTCTGCCATTCTCTGATTCTCTGTCTCCCTCTGCTGTTTTCCAGGATGGCCCCTGAAGTGATCCTGGCCATGGATGAGGGGCAGTACGATGGGAAGGTGGATGTCTGGTCTCTTGGCATTACCTGCATTGAACTTGGTGAGTGGGTGGGCGGGGCTGACTCAGTCAGTGTGTGTGCTTCATGACCAGTTACACCTGTAATTGTGTCTGTGGAGAGAGAACGTCTGATTTCCCCTCACCCAGACTAACCTCTGTCTCTCTCTCTCTCTCTCTCTCTCTGTCTCTCTCTGGTACAGCGGAGAGGAAGCCGCCCCTGTTCAATATGAATGCGATGAGTGCCTTATATCACATTGCACAGAATGAGTCCCCTGTGCTTCAGTCTAACCACTGGTAAGTACTGCCCCGTCTTCCCTTCTACAGCTGCTCGCTCCCAGCTCCTGCAGAGACCCGTGTCCCTGGGCAGGCACTAGGCCCCCAGGTCGGAGCGTGGCCCCCCCCCTTCCTGGCGCTGGGCCCCCAGGTCGGAGCGTGTCCCCCAGTTTCTGTTCCCTGCCCTTACCCCTCTGTCCTTTTCCAGGTCGGATTACTTCCGGAATTTCGTGGCTTCCTGCTTACAGAAGATTCCTCAGGACCGTCCCACTTCGGAGCTTCTGTTGAAGGTGGTTTGAGTCAGTGCTGTGCACAGACCTTGCTTCTCTCCATCTTCTTCATGTCACACTCTCAATCCCTGCCTCGTGGTCCAAACTGTCCACTTCTTCCACCTGCCATCTACCCTGTTCCTTCCTTCCTCCCTCCATCCATGGCCGCAGCAAAACTCATGGACCTGAGGAGTTGGAGCAGTTTACAAATTAGCAGGGAAGGTCGGACGCATTCATTGAGAGTAATATTGCTACAAAAACTAACTTTCGGTTCCCTAGGTACGTGAAAATTATAGAATCCCTACTGTCTGGTGGCAGGCCGTTCAGCCTAACGTGTCCACTCCAAATCTCTGAAGAACATTCCACCCAGACCTAACCCCCCCTACCCTATCCCTGTAAGCCTGCATTTCCCACTACCATTCCACCCTAACCCCCCCTACCCTATCCCTGTAAGCCTGCATTTCCCACTACCATTCCATCCTAACCCCCCCTACCCTATCCCTGTAAGCCTGCATTTCCCATGGCCAACCCACCCTAACCCGCACATCCCTGGGCACTACGGGACAATTTCCCACAGCCGACCCACCCTAACCTGCACATCCCTGAACACTGTGGGCAATTTCCCACGGCCGACCCACCCTAACCTGCACATCTTTGGACTATAGGAGGAAACCGGAGCACCCGGAGGAAACCCGCACAGACACGGGGAGAATGTGCAAACTCCACACAGACGGTCGCCCAAGGGTGGAATCGAACCCGGGCCCCTGGCACTGTGAGGCAGCAGTGCTAACCACTGAGCCACCGTGCTGCCCCAGAGACAGGACAAGACAAGCATTAGGGGCAGTTCCAATGGGGTAGAAAATTGGCTGACCAACAAAACACTACATGCACAAGGAAGGTGACAAATCACATTCAGTGAGAAATGTTGGGGAATGTAGGATTTAGTGAGAAACTGAAGGGAATCTGTTCGAGGAGGGTAGTGGTGTTGGAGAAATTGATGGGACTGAAGGCCAGTAAATCCACAGGCCCTGATCATCTACATCCCAGAGTACTGAAGGAAGTGACGGCAGAAAGAGTGGTTGCAGTGGTGGTTGTTGCTGTAGTCTGTGGGACAGATTGGAAGATGGCCACTGTAACTGTACTATTTAAAAAGGGAGGAACCTGGGAATTTTTAAACCAGTGAGTGTGCTGTCAGTCGTGGGGAGAACGCGATGTGTCTAACTGAGTTCATCAGGAGGAGCCAGGTTTCTTTCAGCCTCTACACCCCCTCCCTATCTATGTTGCCCCCTCCAGCCCCTACACCCCCTCCTTATCTCTGTCACTACCTCCAGCCCCCTACGCCCCCTCCCTATCTCTGTAACCCCCTCCAGCCCCATCCCTGTCGCTGTGTGTTGACTGTGTGCTGTGCTGGCCTCTATTGATGTCTCTGTGCTTACAGCATGTGTTTGTGAAGAGAGAAAGGCCTCAGACCGTGATCATGGATCTGATCCAGAGAACGAAGGATGCCGTTCGGGAACTTGATAACCTGCAGTACCGTAAAATGAAGAAAATCCTCTTCCAGGAGACGAGGAATGGCCCAGCCACTGACACACAGGAGGATGATGAGGTAGAGAATCCCAGTGCTATCCGTCCCGGAGTGACCGCTCCCAGCGCTACCCCTCCCTCCCTGGAGTGATCGGACTGTGATGTGGGAAGCATGTGTTTTCAGAGCTGACGGTGGTCTCTCTGTGTCTCTTTTTGTCCCTCTCCCCTTCTCCCCTTCTCACTCCTCCCCGCTCCCCCCTCACCCCCTCCCCCCCCCCCCTCCCCCCCCCCCCCCCCTCCTCGCCCCCCCCCCTCTCCGTTTCCCCCCTGCCTGTAGGAGTTGGATGCCTGTGTGGGTCGCACTGGGACGATAAACAGTGTAGAGAGCAGTCACTCTGTCCCAAGCATGTCGATCAGTGCCAGTAGCCAGAGCAGCAGCGTCAACAGCCTGGCCGATGCCTCCGACGACAACAGCGAGATCGCCATGATGCAAGAGGGTGATCACACGGTCACCTCCAACAGCTCGGTGATCCACCTGCGACCGGTCAGTACCTGCTGCAACGGATCACATGGTCACAGGGGATCCCCGAGGGACCAGTCAGCGATCTGCTGTGACCAGTCAGCGATCCGCTGTGACAATCCACTGTGACGATCCGCTGTGACCTGCCAGCGATCCGCTGTGATGATCCACTGTGACCTGTGAGCGATCCACTGTGACCTGTCAGCAATCCGCTGTGACCTGCCAGCGATCCACTGTGACCTGTCAGTACTGGGTTAGCAACATCTCCCCATAAGACAAACCCCTCGATCCCTGGAACCAGTTGAGTGATCCTCTTCTGTGCTGCTTCCAAAACATTTCCCCTCCCTCCTCCAATCAGGACACCAGATGTGGTTCGCCCCCGCCCCCGCCCCCACCCCCAACACCCCCAACAGGACAGCGGCAGTAAAACTCCTGTCGGTGGATTCTCCAGTCCCCTCACTGGGAACCCCTGACATCCCATTGATGTCCCTGTGAGCACCTGCTGCATCTGTGTACAAACTGTTTGTGACTCATGGGCTGGGACGCCCAGATCCCTCTGCACCTCTGAGTTCAGCAGCCTCTCCCTCTATGCTGCTTCTCCCTTCTCCTGGGTCACAGGGTCATGCCCTCCCGGTGACTGGGACGGGGGTTGCTTGTGGATGGGGGGAACAGGGTCTTGCTCACTTGGCCACGTGGGGTGAGGGTCAGGGTCACGCCCTCCCAGTCACTGAGCCAGTTTCTATTCGTTCTCAGACTCTGGAATCCCATTGACAGTCTCCTTTCTCCACCTTTTGCTTGGTTTCCTCAGCAGGGTGTAGCCAGTCAGTGCGCCTCCCTCTCACTCCTATCTCTCCCGTTTGCAGGGTAACGACGATCTCTACGATGACCCGTACTCGGGGGAAATGGAAGCCCAGCCCCCGGCCCCCTCCTCCTCCTCCACATCTTCATCTTCAGCAGCAGCGCGGAGGAGAGCTCATTACCGAAACCGTGAGCACTTCGCAACCATCCGCACGGCCTCGCTGGTGAGCTGTGTCTCTGTCCTCCCTCCCCCTCTCCCTCCCTCCCTCCTTCTATCTACCTTCCCCTCCCTCCCTATCTCCCTCTATCTACCTTCCCCTCCCTCCCTATCTGCCTCTACCTACCTACCTTCCTCCCTCCTTCTACCTCCCTCCCTCTACCTACCTTCCCCTCCCTCCTCCCCCCTCTCCTCCCCTCACTCCCTCCCATTCCCGCCCCCGTCCCCGGGTTGAGCTGACAGTGGTTTCTATCTACACCAGGTGACGCGGCAGATTCAGGAACATGAGCAGGACTCCGCACTGAGGGAGCAGATGAGTGGCTACAAGAGGATGAGACGGCAGCACCAGAAACAGCTGATGGCTCTGGAGAACAAGCTGAAAGCAGAAATGGACGAGCACCAGCTGAGGCTCGACAAAGAGCTGGAGACACAGCGCAATAACTTTGGCGCAGAGTGTGAGAAAGTCAGCAAGAGACAACAGAGCCTGCTGGAGAAAGAAGTGAGGGCCGCCTGGATGGAGGGGAGGGGGACGGGGCTTGGCGAGGATGCTGGGGAGAGAAGGAGATGTGAGATGGAAAGGCGGGGGGAGAGAGTGTGGAGGGGGGGGAGTGAGGGGGGTGCGGATGGTGGGGAGAGCCTGGGATCCTGGGATGGGCCCTGCTCCTGGTACAGCCTGAACCCAAGTCTGTTCTCCCACAGGGAAAGGCAGCTGGAATCGAGGAGAAAAAGTTCCAGCAGCACATCCTGAGTCAACAGAAGAAGGAGCTGAGCAGCTTATTGGAGGCACAGAAACGACAGTACAAACTCCGAAAGGAGCAGCTCAAGGAGGTGAGGG